GATTTTGTGGGTGATGGCCGACTTCTGGTCTGAACGAGCTGAGGAGCGACTCATAGAAGCAATCAAAGAATATACATGGCTTTTTGATTGTAAACATCGTTGGTACAAAGATAAAAATAAAAAACAGAACTCATGGATGGAGCTCGCAGGACTATTCGGAGATGGAATTGGTGGTATGTACTAATGGTATACATATTTCTGTGTACGCACTACCTACATACAGTCCTAGATCACAGTTGCATCATTGCAGGAAAATACAAGTTATAGCTAGTTGATTAGTTGCTGTTGATTAGTGGTTCATAGTTGCTGTTTCATGAATTGTTTTGGGTAGTGTGACTTGCCTGTGAACTTTTCACCTCATAGGTATTACTGTGTAGGAGCCTGGAGCCTACCTGGCTCAAGCCCTTTTATGTAATGTGGTAAAATGTGACTTTAGTGTGACTACTTACGATATGCTTCCCAATGCACTCTGAAATAGCACAGGCGATTCAACGATATGGCCACAAAACTTGACAGTATCACTGTCAATGAATTCACAGGTTACATTAATATATCCACTGTTTTCAGCGCCTGAGGTCGAACGGCATTGGCTCCTGATGCGGGACAGGTACCGAAGGGCCAAGAAGGCGAGTATGGCTAAAGTTCCGAGTGGATCCAGTCGGCAAGACGCCGAGCGCTCGAGGCCAAGGTGGCCGCTATTTGAGGCCATGGACGCGTTCCTGGCGCGTCACACGTGCCAGAGGAGGCGGTAAGTTGCGAGTGCTTGGTTTTTCACTTTAAGTTGTTGCTCATTCACCCGTGCTTTGCTGGAGTTTCACGGTCCTCTCAAACTCGACTCCTGGACTGAGACAAAAAGGGCGTGACTTTAGGTCAAAATTTTCGCAAATTCGAAATATGCAAATTGTGGCTACTGGCTTCCCATCCATAGATAATATTCCTTGAGATTCAGTAGCGGCGGAACACCCTCAATTAGGGGGGGGGGGGCACTGCCGACTTTTGGTCCCATTCTTTCCATGCAACACCCATAGGGCTAATGTTAAAATGCCCAAATCAAGGGGGCGGCATGGTGCCCCGGAGCTCTCCCCGTTCCGCCGCCTTTGCTGAGATTCGAGGTCATTTATTGCTCACTGTTATCCCAGCCAGATGTCAAACTACGAAAAATGTTTTTTGAGGTGAGGTAACTAACTGTGACCTGGTTATCTGACTTCTTCATATTATGTCTTCCTTGTATGACTTCTTGTATAGTTGGCGCAACATGAGTGCAGTACTTCACTCTGCACACACTTTGTACCTAAACTGTTGTGTGCCAGTGATCACCAAAATGTCAAGAAATTCGCCCATTCCTTAGACGAAGACAATAAATATTCACATGCTTGGAGCACGTCTTGAACCACGCCCCTTTGGGGTCTGCCGAGCAACGCGCCCTGCTGGGGGGGGGGGGGAGCAATTTGCCCCGCTCCCCTAAGATCTCGAGAACCACGCAACATAGCGACAAGCGACAAACGGTGTTGGATAGCCCCAACATGGAACTACCTTGTGACCCAATTTCATTGACCTAGGTCAAACCGATGACAGTGTCCCAAAATTGCATTTTGGCTTGGGTGTCAGAGGGGAAATTGCTTTCCAAAAATGGGGATAAGAGTGGAAAATTGCTGGCCAAGGTGAGGCCCAGAAAGATGGGAAAAGATCGATAGCATTAATTTTTATCCATGCGTGATAAAATATGAGATGTACAACGATTATCCACGCTAATGCTTTTTCTTCGTAATATTGGGAGTGGAAAATTGCTCTTCAAAATTGGAGGTGAGAGTGTTAAATGATTTTCATTTGGATGTCGTTTCCCACCCAAAACAACAAATTTTGTAACACTGACCGATGACGTCATGTAGGTCAGGTCAAATGTCGAATTTTCACAGTGTACAGGCAGTTCAAGAAATACATAGGTACGTTGTAAAATCGAGTAAAATGCATTTCATGGGAAATCATCGATGGGGAAATGTTCGTCAAACACATATTTTGCTATTTGAGGTCGCTGATACCAGGTCAGGTCACAGAGGTCAGGTCACTAAGGGTCACAGCATGAAAATATCATGTGAGGTATGTTTTATGGTCCATTTTATATGCCAAATGCGATTATGTGGATCAGGCAGACTCTGGGGTCAGTAAAGATTATTTTCTGGTGAAGGTCAGGTCAAATTAGGTCAAATTTCAAAGTTGATATTTTTGCATAAAATGGGTATCGATTCGATGCAGCTCAAACGGACACAGACGGACGAACGCGAATCTGGTGATAGTTGTTAATATTCCATGAATTTCTTTCCTCAGGGGCGGGGACAGCTTCTCCGTTCGACCAGCCAGTCAAACAAGCGCCTCACACGGCAGCCAACCAGCTGTCTACCGACAGGAGGATGGCTTTGTAAGGTACGTACAGGCGAAACCCCTCGCCTGCCTACAGATTTTCTAGCTGAATGCAGCCGTCATTATGGGCGGATACATGACGAGGGGGATGGGGATGGAGGGATATAGCTTGGAGCTAGTTATCTTGGAGTTAGTTATCCCTAGAGCCTGGGTCTAGTCATCTTCGAGAGCCACGCCAAACGATCAGCCATCAGAGCCCTTCCATGCGTTCAGATGACCCTTCACTGGCTTCAGTTCATCTATCCTTTTTTCAGAAGTCAGGACGTGCCGGCCTCCGTCATCATCATGCTGGAGGATGGACGGATCCTCTCCGAGTCCGCCGCTACGCCTGGCGCGAACGACCAGGGCGGACCATCAGCCGGGCGGCCCCGAGCCACAGAGCCGGAGCGCTCACACCGACGGAGCCGCACTCGCAGCCGCAGCCCATTGGGCCAGGCGAGCCCAGCCGAGCCGACGCGGCAGCGCAGCGTCAGCCCAGCCGAGCCGCGGCAGCGCAGCGTCAGCCCAGCCGAGCCGACGCGGCAGCGCAGCGTCAGCCCAGCCGAGCCGCGGCAGCGCAGCGTCAGCCCAGCCGAGCCGCGGCAGCGCAGCGTCAGCCCAGCCGAGCCGCGGCAGCGCAGCGTCAGCCCAGCCGAGCCGACGCGGCAGCGTCGCAGCCCAGCCGAGCCGCGGCAGCGCAGCGTCAGCCCAGCCGAGCCGCGGCAGCGCAGCGTCAGCCCAGCCGAGCCGACGCGGCAGCGTCGCAGCCCTGCCGGGCGAGCTGGGCAGCAGCGCGGACGTGGTGGCACCGGACGCCCACCCACTTCGGTCCGCCAGCGTCGCCGCCACCAGGATGAAAGGCAGGGGCAGGGCGCAACTTGGCAGGAGCAATTCCTGTCCACATGGGAGAAGTCTAGAAGGCCGAATGACCGGGTAAGTGCCTTTGGGGACTACCTAACGCACTTAATGCGCATGGTGCCGGAGGAACGGACCATTGACATGGAGGTGGAGCTCGTGCGTGTCGTGCGAACCTTCATGTGAAATGAGCATGCGACTGGCTAGTCGCATGACCATATCACATGTTTTGCCATGTTATCACATATTTTAACCCGCGCACCGACGGGGGGGGCGGATATCCGCCCCCCCCCTGAGGTTTTTCGCGAATAGCGGGAAGTAGCGCCGCGAAATTTGGTATGACTATTCCCTCATCAATTTTACACATGGTGTGCAAGTTCAAACCTCGTAACTTTTAATGTCAGGTCACCAGGTCACTTTGAATGACCCAACCTCAAGTCACTTTTTTGCAACTTTGTCACCGTGCCAGAGCTACAGTAGATGTCGGAGACCTTTGAAAGTCGCAGGATGTTATAAGATCATTAGTAGCTACAATTTGTATATCTCGGAATTTTGATATCGGTGACCTAAGGTCAGGTCAATTTCGCGACTTCCCCATTATAAGTCAATGGGGGAAAAATCAACTCCCTATTTTTACCACTAAAACGGGTCGGAATGGCCCCATATACCATACATGACTTTATATACGATCAACCTTCACTACCTTGAGGTCTGTTTTGCTGTTGGGCAGCTGTGAGGTCATGTGACGTCATCAAAGGTCACCAAAGGTTTTTGGCCAATAACTCCGTACAGGAACAAGATACAGCCGCGTGGATGGTCTCATTGTGTTCAGCTCGTCAAGACGCATCGAATGATATACAATATACATGGTGACCTCGAGGTCACGTGACCTGAGGTCAACCTTTGACCTTGACCTTTCGAGGTCAACATATATATCATTCGATGCGGATTGACGAGAGGATCACGATGATGCCCTTAGTTTGTTTCTATCTTGACTAATTCGAAAGTTATTCGAGAAAAACTCTCAATATCTAGCGCCGCCATTTTGACTTTTTCGACCCCTGTGACGTCATCTTTGACCTGACCTGAAAATGACCTTAGTAAAAATTGTAGATCTTGACCGTGCGTATCCGATGCCGTTCACCGCTTGTCGCTATCTTGCTTCGTTCTCGAGATCTCAGGGGGGGGGGGCGGTCATCCGCCCCCCCCCCGTCGGTGCGAAGTTGGCGCAGACCCCCGTCGGTGCGCGGGTTAAGTTTTTCTATATCTTCAAAGTCAAATAATCCTGTGGCTATTTGCGCGCGTTCATGAATGTCATGTGGCCTTCAATAAGTGTCACCGTGTTATTGTTAGTTTTCAAATTACGTGTCTTGCACATATCAATGCGTCGAAGTGTGCCGCCGGTGGCGCATCGGGACTCAGTCCTGTGTCAGTGTGCGCGCGTTCACGAATGTCATGTGGCCTTCAATAAGTGTCACCGTGTTATTGTTAGTTTTCAAATTACGTGTCTTGCACATATCAATGCGTCGAAGTGTGCCGCCGGTGGCGCATCGGGACTCAGTCATGTGTCATGTGTCAGTGTGTTATTGTTAGTTTTCAGTTTGTGTCTTTCAGGCAGTGCTAAGCTGCCGTAACGGGCGCGCCACCGCTGGGTTATATAGCGAGGCCGGAAGATGTGTACTGGCGTTGGTCTTCACACAATGCCTCAGTTGTGAATGACTGATTGTTTAAATTAAATAAAACCTTCGTTCTCAGGCCAACACATGTATTTGCATACACTCGGCAGCAAATAAATCGAGGCACCTAAAAGCACCTAAAATCTGTCCATTGCGGACGCACGGTGCTACGAGCGGGCACCGGGCGAACAATCCGAAGCAGCACCGACGGGCGTCGAGCGAACCGGCACTCGATGGAGGCACCAACGGGCGGCATGCAGAGGGACACAATATATACACGCATTGCAATGTGCGGGACACGAGCTGAAAATTAACAATGACACGGTGACACTTATCGAAGGCCACATAACATTCATTAACGCGCACAAACTGACACATGACACGGAAGCACCGACGAGTCGGGCGGCAGAGCGCTCTCAGCGACAGCCCCCGCAGGCAGACTCTGGCCTACTGCAGTCGGCCTCGGCGCACAATGGCATCCTGCCAGGGCACGCTTCCCTCTGGCGACACGAAGTATCGTGCAAACCGCTCGCGAAGGTCCGCTGCGCCCCTTGCTGGGTTGTTGGCCCCCATCCGACCGATGTCGGCTAGACCACCGCCTGCGAGCTCCCGGCGCCAGGCGCCCTGCATCACCCGCCCACCATCGTCCGCGTCGACGTCGCCCTGGGAGATGTAGCGCCTGTCGTTGGAGACACCATCGCGGCGACGCAAGAAGTTGTGGAGAACACAAGTGGCCTTTACTATGGCGTCCACAGTTTCTATCTTCGCCACTATTGGCTGCCTGAGTGAGCGCCATCTTGTCACTAAAATGCCGAACGCATTCTCGACCACTCGCCGCGCCCTACTCAACCGGTAGTTGTAAACGAGCCGCTGGTGGTAGTCCTCTTCTGCTACACCCCCCAGCCTCGATCCTGGGTAGGGACGCATGATCCGCTGCCTCAGCTGGAACGCCTCGTCCCCAATGAAGACATACTCTAGCTCTCCGGGATCGGCACTGGGCAGGTTCAGGGTGTCCTGTTGCAGGCGTTGGCCGAACGTGGAGTTGGCGAAAATGTTGGCGTCATTTTCGCGTCCGTACGCCCCAACGTCCACGTACGTAAATGCGTAGTCCGCATCGGCGACAGCCATCAGCACACTGCTGAATGTAGCCTTGTAGTTAAAGAAGGCTGAGCCGGACAGACGGGGACACTGAATCCGGACATGTTTTCCATCGATAGCACCTGCCAACAGAACCAGATCAACATTTTATGCGTCGTAAACCATGGTGACTTTCGTTGCTAAGCGTAGGTATGTCTGAATTGTAGAAAGTGTATAAAATAATGAAGTTGCTCATGATCAACGATTCACTCAAAGGTCTAAAAATCGCAAATCCCGCCGCTAACCTAATTTTTATTTCATTAACCTGCGCCCTGCTGGAGGGGGGGGGGGGGGCGCAGGTATGGTTTCAACACCCACTAGTTTTTTTACGAATATCTAAAAAAAAACGGCGACACTGAGCACCTTGCACACCTTATCATGCATCAATTTTACACATGTTGTGACAATTTTAGACCAAGGTCATTCAAGGTCAGGTCACCAGGTCACCTCAAGTGGCCTCACTCATAAGATGTTTCAATGTATGCCATAGCTACACCGAGTGACCGGTCGCTTTGAAACTTTCAGCGATTGACAAGAGCAGCAGTGTATACAAAATGTATCTCTTAGAATTGTCATATCAGTCACCTAAGGTCAGGTCAATTTTCCGACCTCCCCATTACAAGTCAATGGGAGAAAATTCGAAACCGCCTCTTTTCGACGAAAACCATACTTAACACCCTCAAACACTTAATAATAAGTAACTTCGACATACTGAACATAACAATGGCACCCGTGACCCCTCTATGCCCCTGAGGTCATCTCAGGTCACGAATTGTATCTCAAAGTTTTTCGCGAATAACTTTTGATAGAGACATTCAAGCGATGAAAACGCCATAGATGTGTTCAACTCGACGATACGTATCGACTGATATGTAGCATGACCCTTTCCGGTCAGGTCATGACCTTGACCTGAGGTCAAAATTTCAAGTTGACTTTTCAAGGTCAAGTTATAGTTAATTCGATGTGTCGTGACGAGAGGAACACAATGCCGGTAACAGAAAGCTCGTGCAAGGCTTGAGTCAAAAGTTATTGCAGATAAACCGTTTCCGAAAAAAAAATCGTTTATTTTGACAGTTGTTGCCCCCTGCAGGCAAAACCGTTGACTTCAGGTCAAATCTGAGGGAATTACTCAGAAAGAGCGTTAATGAGGCTATCGAATGCGCTTTTCCGCGGCGCTGTAACTCTATTGGTTCCCGAGTTATGCGTCGGCTTCTTGAAAATTGTCGATATTCGATCTCAAAATCGGCGAAATTTGGCCTTCAATGACCTCTGATGACCCGACCTTTGACCTGACGAAAAAAGGGACTGAAGTGATTTCGTCATTGTTTTTGACGCTGTTTCGAACGCCGCTTTCCTCGTTCCCCGTATTTCCCCGCTTTTCCCCTCGGAATATGACCTGAACTCAGATTTAGTGGAAAAAGATCATTATTTGTCATTAACGGCAACACAATAGTCAAAATGGTAAGGTTCATACCAAGGCAGTGTGGAAAATTCCATCTGTCTTCGAACTCCTCAGCGATGTCGAGCCACCTTTGGGTGGTAGGTGCAGACATTTCTGTGGGAACCAGCTCTTCCCACAGGACGTTGCACACCTCAGGGATGATGCTGGAGACCGTCGACTTCCCCATTCTGAAGTACCGGGCGGTGTCCTGCTGGCTCATGCCAGAGGCCAGGTACCTATAAAGCCAGACAGGAAAACACGTAAGTTAATATTCCTATCAGCAGACAAAACTCAGCACATCTTGACAATACACTGAATTTGCAACCATTAACCCGCGCATCCCTGGGGTATTTTCCATAACGCGAGTGACTGGGAGGGGGGAGGGGGGCTTTCCAGAGCCCCCCCCCCCTAACTACTGGGCTGATCGTCAAAATTCAAACGATCTCTGATATAACCCTGGGAAAACTGTTGAACGAACCTAATTTCATTGACCTAGAGGTCACCGATGACGTCACAGGTCAGGTCAAAGTAAAAATTATCGGCATTTTTGTTTGTTCTCAATTTAGGCTCTGAGTTCTCACCACCGGCTGAGAAGTCCGATCTGGCTCATTTTTGGTTTACGCACTCCTTGATATGTATATACCTTAAATACCTAACCTGAGGGTACCGAACTTTTACTTCGAATTCTTGACCGCATCCACTTTCGGACCCCCTGTTCCGGATTCTGCCTACTACACTGAACTTATGGTACTGGTTATGTCATTGATTGCCCTCCCAAACCGGGCTGGATCCCCCAAAATACTGCAATCTGCACAACACTTCACCAATCACCATAGAATGAAACAGTTCAGTATAAGAATCTAATGAAAAATTAAAACAGACTTTGTAGCGAATCATTTAGTGGTGCATTCCCCCGGGCGCTCCGGCCGCCGCGGCCGGCTGATTGTTTACCCGCGCAAGGCCTCCCGCGTCTCTTTCGGCCAGGGCCGGGCGGCACGCGCGGCTTTCCTGCGCGCTTCTGATTTTACTTGTTATTTCGTTGTGTAAGTAATCCCTATGTAACGCCAGTTTACTTATTTACCTTGATTTCTACTGCACAACATATTGGTGACTCCTCGTGAACCATATCCTTTTACCTACGAGCTTTCGGTATTATGGCGCGGCTACCTCCTCTCCCGCTGGAGCGTTTTGAGCACAAGCAGGAGTCATCACGGCTGGACGCAAGTGAATGTAATCTGACATCTTTTGAGCGTGTTTGGGTCACGCCATTGACTCCTCGTCCAGCACTCGCGCTGCGGACGATCGCCGACGCCTCAGCACGCCCGGCTACCGCGTGCCGACGCGGCGGCGTCCATTGCCGTACCTACCGAAAGCGGGTGGCGCGGTGGCGCCATCTAGTGAGCGCCACCTCATCTGTCAACTACAAGCTCGCCATCTATGCCGCCCTTTGGCTGGCCCAGGTCGGCCCAGGTGGAGTGAGGTGGAGTGCGGCTGCCGGGTGGCCGGCAATGGCATCACGGAAGACGCTGTCAAGTTCGACCTATTTATTGGTCGCGAACCTGCCGACACTGACAGACGTCGCCCGGCAGGTCCGTGACGCCATCACGGCCGCGCCGACCAGCTACATGGCGCTGACAGCCCTGCGGACCCGTCTTGACAGAAACAGATAACATCAGAAACAGGTAAAAACTCACCTCAACGTCATTGCCAGGCGCTCCGCTTCAGGGATTGCAGCTCTGAAGTTGGTATCCTCCTTCTTCAGGCGGGGTGCCACAAAGTCCAGCAGCTCATCAAATCTCTCAGGCATCATTCTATAGGCCCTATAAAATTCTTCTGGGTGGTTTCGTGCTTCTCGTAAAAGTGTAGCGTACTCTCCCCTTATATCCCTGTGTTTTAATGTTTCCCTGACCCATATTTTCTTTTTTTGTTGAGGAACTTCGCTGCCTGAAGCTAGCGCTAAAAAAAGGAACATGTCTTCGTCCGCCATACCCTATTTTGACCTAAATTTATTTATTGAACCCACAAAATACAATATCAAAGCACAAAACGTCTGTTATTGTTGTGGTTTCCAAGGTCATCGCACTGCGCCATGATTGGCAACGAATAGAATAAACAACGCCTCTGCGCATGCGCGGCGTACGATGGGAGCAGCGGCCCCAGGATCGTATCGGGCCTAGAGATTTTTATCTTTTTTCTCTAGCCACGCTCACCATACCATTACCATACGATCACCATCCGCTTACCATCCGCTCCGATCGGTTTCGGCAGTGAGAACCGGGCTTAACGGGTGATGGATCCGTGCAGTGAGAGCCTAATTGACAGCTGTGACCCAATAACAACGCTTATTGAACAGGCAGGACAAACGATAACTACTACGGTCCTCAGTCGTGGATAAAAGGCATTGACAAAAGTGAGTGAAAAATGAAAACCGACTGTGTCCTGTGACATATCTGACATTTATAAATGGCTGCAGAAGAAAGTACACGTAATTTTCAGCAAATGGAAACTTTTCACCCGCATTTCAGTTGTCTGAATGAATAATTGCATGGACAATGGATGGCGCATTACGCAACAAAGAGCATCACGACTAAGCACTGGAGGCACCAGTTCACTCTACATAAATAGGAGCACTGGGTTCCGACCATTGCCAGCGTAATTAGCGCCAGTTTTCCGCTATCATTTCCCCATTTGGTGTTTATCTATAGAACAAGGTCATTTTCAACAAAATATGCCTCCCGTGACATTCTCTGTCGCACCGTTTGCCGATCCACCTGGCTTTGCAATAAAGAATGAGGCTCCAGGCTACTGGCGTAAAAGCTACAATGGAAGAAAGCGGCGTGTCAAAGATACATAACAAGGGCATCACCGCACGAAGGGACAAACTCCGTCATAGGACATGTCGGCCTAAACGGCACGCAAATGGCAATGGCGATGTGGCCTGTGTTACATGGCAGGCGACGGTCACTTCCATATATGGTGGCCGGTAAAAAATAAAATAAAAACAATGTGGTGCTCGAACTTCGATACAAGCAATTTAAACAATCCAGGAACACATGAAAATACCCACAAGTTATGGCACAACCAAATAGCGCAATTGGTGCCTCGACACCATGCTAAATGAGCTGAATGAATCTAACATTTGGCCTTTCAAAAATTGAGCAAAGAACTTTCTTCAAATGATGAAATCGAACATGGCATTTGCAAGACTTCAAATTGAATGGCATGTCATCGGTGATAATCTGCTCACTGAGTGTCCCGTTAGGCGTTAACCATATCGGAAGCCACGGTTTCAAATATTTGGTTTCTTTGGGTTTCCCTCGGCGTGCCGCCGTTTTTCAGGCTCGGAGTCGGCCGTTACCCATGAATCCAACTTATCACCGGCCTGCGGCCCGGCAGCGTCACTCTACCGCCGGCCGAACAAAGGGGACACGGCGCCTTTGTAAAATCCCCGCGGAGTCTTTCCAGCCGGTCCGTAAATCACCGGCGCCGATGATGCACACGGGGATACGAGGCAGCGGCGTGTGTGAGTCAGCACCGGCCACCAGTCCGCCGTATACGGCCACGTAGCCCGGGTGGGAGAGAACCGGGGGCGCCCGGAGGGAGCCGCAGCGCGGAGAGGGTGTTTGCTATGCGCTGCCGGTCCCCAGACGCCATTTGGGGTGGCCGACGGTGGGTCACGACACTCAGTGTCATGACATCACGCTGCAGACCCACGGCGACTGAGGAAAGGCGGAGACGAGCTGCCAACTGCGCCGCCTGACCTTGGACGGCAGGAGGGAGCTCAGACTCACTCCTCGGGATCTGAGCCTGGGGGCGGTTTTCGCTGCATGAATGGCGGAGTTTCAGTGCGTCTGCAGTGGCGACTCCACCCATATCTGCCAGGAGCCTCCCGACGAGATTAGCGCGCGCGATCGGGAGCAGCCGGCGGGTCTGCGCAGCGCGGGCACCTTCATCTTATCTTATCGGCGGCGACACAGGACACAGGACATAGAGCGCAGGCCGCGCCGGTATGTCGAGTCCCACGGACGACGCTATCGTGTAGGACGGACCGGCCGGCCAGCGGGCGGCAGCGCTCGTAAAATCAACCTGCACGCGACGCAGCCAATTCGACTGTCGGCGATTCCTGTTCAGTCACGCAACGCCGGACCAGCGATCGGGAGACGGCGGATACCATTACCGGCTAACCTAACCAGCCACGAGGCAGTTTGGACAGATTAATAACAGCGTTATTGTAACGGTTTGATGCCAGTTCCGAGCCTCGCTAGCGCGTCATCGCTGGGCGGTCCCACCGCGCTCGGCTCGGGCGGGTTTGTGGCAAGGTCGGGGCGGTGAGCCGTACCGCCGCCGTTCCCGTCGGCCGCGCCGGGAACGGCCGGTCCAAACCGCCGCCGCCGCCGGCACCGGATGGGCGGCCGGCGGACGGCTCAATCCGGGGCCGGCCCTCAGCACCTTCGGCCGCCCCGCCCCGCCCCGCCCAGACATCGAGCGGTGCAGCACGCCACCCGTCCTCGCCGGCGGCCGGTGTTGCAGGACCAGCAGACGCCTGTCCCACTGGGTCAGCACACACCCGACACCGCCGCCCGCGGGCGAGGTCACATTGATTGGCCAGGTGTAGTCGCGCAAGGTCACGATGAAACATGGAAGATCACGGTATCGATGCATCACGTCCCCCGGCAGCATACATTGAGAGAAGAGATCAGGCTCCCGTGAAATCAGTTGTAGTGCCTCTGGCCCTGTACGTGGACTGGCTTCTGATGTGTTCTATCCTAGGCGACTTGCATATAAATGTAACTCGAGTTAAGCGCATATAGGTACTCTACTGTCCCGACAGGTCACTGTTTCCACTATTGTATCCCATTTGACAGCAAAACAAAAACCGAGCAGACATGATCGCGGTAATTTTAAACCGGATCCAAGGACATCCGAAGCTGGACCGTGTTACTAGCTCACAAATTTCGCCGACGCCATTATCCTGATTATCTTCATCAAATATCTTCAGCATCCTCGTCTCTATAATGAAAGTTTTATTGCCTACTTAACCCGCGCCCGGCTGGGGGTCCTGGATTTCCACGCCCTGCTGGGGGGGGGGGGGTGTTTGAACACCCCCCCTTCTAACTCGGCTCCTGGGCCACGTAGCGATACGCGGAAGGCGGCGTTCGAAAGAGCGTCAAAAATAATGAGGAAATCACTTCGGTCAATTTTTTGGTCAGGTCAAAGGTCAGGTCACCAGAGGTCATTGAAGGCAAAATTTCGCCGATTTCCAGGTCGAATGTCGAAAATTTCCAAGAAGCCAACGCATAACTCGGGAACCAATAGAGCTACAGCGCCGCGGAAAAGCGCATTCGATAGCCCTATTAACGCCCTTTCTGAGTAATTCTCTCAGATTTGACCTAACGTCAACGGTTTTGCCTGCAGGGGGCAAAAACTGCAAAAATAGCCGATTTTTTCGGAAACAGTTTTTCTGCAATAACTTTTGACCCAAGCATTGTACGAGCTTACTTTTACCGGCATCGTGTTCCTCTTGTCAAGACGCATCGAATGAACTATAACTTGACCTTGATAGGTCAACTTGAAAATTTGACCTCAGGTCAAGGTCATGACCTGACCGGAAAGGGTCATGTTGCATATCAGTCGATCCGTATCGTCGAGCTGAACACATCTAAGGCGTTTTCATCGCTCTAGCATGCCTCTATCAAAAGTTATTTGCGAAAAACTGTTGGATACCATTCGTGACCTAAGATGACCTCAGGGCATAAACAGGGGTCACGGACACCATTTTCATGTTCAGTGTGTCTAAACCACTTGTAATTCAGTGTTTGGGAGTGTTTATAATGTATTCCGTCCAAAAGAGGCGCATTTCAGTTTTCTCCCATTGACTTATAATGGGGAGGTCGCAAAATTGACCTGACCTTAGGTCATCGATATCAAAATTCTGAGATATACATTTTGTACATGCTGTTGCTCTTAGCAATCGCTGAAAGTTTCAAAGCGATCGGTCACTCGGTGTAGCTATGACAGACATTGAAACTTTTTATGAGGTGAGGTCACTTCAAGTGACCTGGTGACCTGACCTTGAATGACCTTGGTCTGAAATTTTCACAACATGTGTAGAATTGATGTATGATAAGGTGTACCAAAAACGGCGGCGCTCCGCGCCGCCGTTTTTGAGATATTTGCGAAAAACCACAAGGGGGGGGTGTTCAAACACCCCCCCCCAGCAGGGCGCGGGTTAATTAGGGCACATGGCCGGCGAACAGGACACCAATGCGAAATGCTTTTATACATGCCTGTCTCATCAGTATCTAAATAAAAAGATACGAGTAGAGCTTCTATTCGACTTGACAAACATGAGTCTGCATACTTTCGGTGTTGGTAGTCGGTAATTAATCTTCTTTTTTTTTTGTCTATACGATCTTAGCATACGATCTTAACGATATTCAGAATTCACAAAAATCCTGATAATTAATCGGCTGCATATTTCCCGCTTAGATTTTGCGCTATCACGATGTCATCATAAGACCTGAAAAGCAAAGCATCATAGGTACCAAGGACGTCTAACTGCCTTTAGAAATTCCAATGGCCACCGAGCTGTAACGATAATCCACATTCATTGTACAAGTCTGGTGGTCTTTGGCATAGCTTTAATGGCATGATGGAAAGTCCTGACAAACTTCAAAGTGTTACGAGACTTGCACGAACTTAATGTCTGGGTGAAGTGGCCCTAGACAAAACAAAACCTAATAAGACGAAGACACTGTTGTAAAAGACCCGCTGCTCGGCGCCCAACCGCACTCTAACCGTATGTGTTAGCCGTCCGGCGGCCGCATGCGCTACTCACTGCTGAGGTTTGTCCACCGTACTCGCGGGGCTGTGCAGGATCGTTTGGTTGTCCGCCATTTCGACCACGTTCTGAGTATCGAGATCCATTTCTGAAAACGGGAAAAAACACACATCATCTCCAAGTGTTGTGTAATGACGGCGCCTAAATATGATTACATCTATATCCTAGCGAGCCTCGTGGTAGGTCATTTACAAAGCCGGCGTATCAATATCGTGGCAAAAGACTGGGCCATATCATACGTGACCAGTGGCGCATTAAATCTGAAGTGGCTGTAGTCTGTACCGGGATCAATAGTTACCGACACAGCGAGACAATAATTCATGCGACCCTCGGCCGCGCACGGTCGGCCGCATTTCGTTCGCGGCGCCAGTGCGTGACGGCGGGCGCCGCGCCGTCTGCGGCCGGCCCGGCTCCCTCCTCTGGGCCGCCATCTGCCTAACTGCCTCCCCGCTTCGACACCGCTCCCCTCCTCTCCCCGGACAGCCGAGCGCGGCGCACGCACATCATTCACAGACGGGGGAGAGAGTGCGGCC